GTGTTATCCGAATGTTGATAATGAGTTTGTCTCGTATAGAAAAGGAAATTTTTCAAAGTTTTCAGCTGAAAAGTGTTATAATAAGAAGTATTTGGATTATTATACTACTTAGGAATTCCCGAAATAGTACAATTTACACCAAACGGAACTAGATGAGCACAAACGAACGTGATGTATTTGGTATTCAAAATCAGGCAGCCATCAAGTACAAAAGAATCATTAGTTCATACAAACACCACAAAAAGCCAGGAAATATGCAGTATAAGTGAGGAGTTGCAACACAGATTAGGCGTGTTCACACTGATCTTCGGTTTGTTGTTAGTGTTTAATTTTTCAAATCATACATGCCCACTAGTCATTGGATGATGAAAAAGGATTTGAAGTTGTTTGACAGAAAAGAAGTATAACCAAAAACACAAGAAAGTTGCTAGGCTTCACGGTAAGCAAGCCATCTCGGCAACTTCTAAAATGCTTGAGAAGATGGGTCCCATGCCGAACATGAGAAATTTTCATGGTCTTTGACAAAGTGTCAAATAATTATAATGCTAATTTTCATCCCAAAAAATTATTTCACTATTCTTGGGGAAAAGTATATGGTTATGGAGTTCTGCCTAGCTAAAATATTATTTGTAACCTGATATGCTGAAAGCTCTGCTCATAATAAGTGGAACTAAAAGAGGACCGATGCTAGAAATAATCTGAAATCTAGTTAACTAAACATGGATATATGAGGTGTGTATGATAACTCATGTCATACCACATATCCACACTCCTCCTGTGTAGACAAAATCGAGAACACAACTGAATGAGAAAAATATCTTGAAATTTCGGGAGGGTAAATAGTGTTAAATAACCTATATATTTACTCTTATTTAAAGAAATCATTTGTTGACCGCTAATACGGCCATTACTAATGAATGCTAGATAACGAGCTTAATTGTAACAACTAATGCAAGTAGCCTGAACATGCCACATAAAACAGTAAGACGAAGAAGTCCCTGTGAATGCAATTCATTGCATGAGAGATTCGCCAAGTACAGACTCACACTAAGTAACCTTATTTAAATATCCAGATTATGACTGGCGTTTATAAAAGAAAGAGGAATTTTATGGCGTTGACAGTAGGAGATCAGAATGACTGTGTAAGTCATTTCAGATTTTTACAGACTGCATATACGGAACCATAAGTATCGGTAGCTTTCGCCTTTTATGTTGAATATCTTGATAGTTGTATAGATTCTTGCATAGAATTAAGTACTTAAATTCGAGAAACTAAGCTATCGTGGAATTAGATTTGTAGCCGATTCTCAATAGTGTAGTTTTATTTTCCTTTTTTACGAATGATGCGTCTGAACTAGTATTTTGGCGTATAATCTCATAGAACATCACTTCAAATTTAAATTTATCATTCATTACACGAAATGGTAGTAGATTGTATCTTCAATACACTGAGTCACCGACAGTAGTGGAATGAAGATTCAATTGATTGCAAGATAATCCAACCTCTCTGAAATGACGCTTTATGACTTACGGTCTCAGAGGAGTTCAAAAACTTAGATGACTTCTATTGTATATAGTACAGCTAGTTATGTCGAGTGTATGGAACTTTCTGATTACGAAACCTTTAAAATATGATGGTGAGAATCCTAGAATTTGTGGAAGGTGACACGAAAGCGAAAGGATAGATTCGGGAAAGATGTTTTTGTACTCTAGTCACAAAGAATAAACTGCTCCACAAACTCAGGGATTTCCTATGATGCTGTCCAAAGAAGCTAATGGATCCAGGAATATCAAGCTAATCTTCAAAACTCTTGGGGACGTTGGATCCTCAGAACGCACTTGGAAAATGTCCCAACTTCTGTAATTTTATTTTGACAATTGAAATTTCTTTGTTTTCGCGTCGAAAGCGCTCTTTTTGTGGTGCGTGCTACTTATATTGATATAAGTAGTATATAACGTGAGTCAAAAGAACGTAATGTCTGGCAGCAGAAGACGGAGAAGATCAAGAAAAGAAGAGCGAGAAAACAATGGAATTTGTTAGAAACTGCATGAGCAATGAAATGCGAGACAATGGATTGATGTTTGCAACAGCAACAGCCCGGTTTGATATGATAGAATGATATTTTGCAAATTAACGATTTACTATATGGTTTTTCTATTTTACCAAGTAATTCTGTAGTTTGTCCTAAATACAATTCGGCTGTCCTCACCCGTGTTCTTCTTCACTACATTTTGACCTTCATGTCGTATTTTCAACTCGGGGGATCCTAGACGCTATTTGTCCTTTGTGCCTTTTAGTATGCTGTATTGTAGCTTTCTCCAGGGACGGTTTTGTGCTGTATACATACGTTTTGGTTTGTGTCTGTTTTTATCTCTCGTGTTTCTGCGTATTATACTTCTCCGTTCGGACTTTGACTTCTCTCTAGTTAGTGGGGCTGGGACGCAATAGAATAGCTAGTATATTGATCTTCGGTCACAAGTTTTTGTTCCGTTCGCAGGTTACGTGAACTCGTAAACGCTTCAAACATAGCGAAAACGAGAGGATTACAATGGATATTATCCAATGTTATGCGCCCACCAATGATAGCGATAAAAACCAGTTCTACGAGAGGCAGCGATCGATCATACAGAAGTGCCCAGGAAAGGATCTCACTTCCTGATGATAGACCTATACGCCAAAGTCGGAATGGACATAAACGGTTATGAAGATATCATGGGATGACAGGGAGAAAGACACGAGAATGGTGACAGATTTGTAAACCTATGTGCATTCAACAAGTTGGTTGTAGGCGGCAGTACTTTCGTACACAAACACACACAATGACACACGGGTCCAATCGGATCACACTACAGGGAATAAGATCGGTCATATTTGCATCACTAAAAAAATTCAGAAGATCAATCGAACACGTGAGAACCCGGAGAGGGACTGGTATAGCTTTACACCACCACCTGGTGGTGGACAACTAGAGAAACATTTATTTTTCTGGTTAGCGACTTTATGGCCAGTTAGTTTTCTACGGGGTGTAATCGCCAACCCCATGCCCTCCTTTATCCGGGCTCGGAGCCGGCAATGGTCCCAGAGGGGATCCAGGCGGAGTTAGAGAAGCATTACGAAGGTTCGGTACAGCGGCCATAAGAGAAACTCAACGAATTCAAGATAATTCTCAACAACAGGTTCCAAGCCTTACAGGATCTGCTGAAAGAAGAAACTGCTAAGGAGGACAACCAGAAAGGGATTGAAGAAATGCTGACTTAAACGTGTCAGAATGTGCTGGTCCGCAAGAGTCATCATCATAATAAATAGATCTCCATCGAAACCCTAGACAAGATTCAAGGAAGGATGAACAGGAAGACAGCAATCAAAAACAGTCGAACAAGAACAAAGAAAGTTAAGGCACAAACTGAATACACAGAAGCAAAGAAAAAAGTGAAAAGCAATAGACACGACAAGCAAAAATACGTGGAAGATCTAGCAACGACAGCGGAAAAAGCTAAAAGACAACCATACGACACAACGAAGAAACTGACAGGGAAATATAGTAAACCAGAGAGACCGGTCAAGGACACTGAAGGAAGACAACCACCAAAATTGAAGAACAGATGGGTAGAATACTTCGAGGAACTTTTGAATAGATCAGCTCCATTGAATCCACTGAACATCGAAGCAGTACATAGAGATGACACTCCACCAAAGACGGAAGAAATTAGATTAGCCATCAAATAAATCAAGGGTTGGAAAGCAGTAGAACCTGACAATATACCATCTGAAGGATCTGATGCAAACGTAATGGCGAGGGCCGCATTCCTACAATTGAAGAACATATGGAACTCAAAACAACCGTCAGCCTATATCAAAGTCAGAATCTTCAATATGAACGTCAAGACAGTTCTACTGAATAGACCTGAAACTTGGAGATCTACCACAAACATCATCAAAAAGGTACATGTATTTACAGACAGTTGTCCACGCAAGACAATCAATATCTGTTGGCCGAATACCATCAGCAACAGTTTATTGTGGGAGAGGCCAAACCAGCCTACAGATAAGGGGTAAATTAGGGGAAGACTCTGGAAGTGGATAGGACACACATTGATGAAATCACCAAACTGCATCATGAAGGGAAAGGGAAAAGGGGAAGACCAAAGAACATACCACGCCGAGAATCGAAAGCAGATATGAATAGCAACTGGAAAGGAGTGCTCAGAACAGAGTTGGAGAATGATAGTGAGCGGCCTATGCTCCTCCACGAGGGGTGACAGGCTTAAGTAAGTAACATGATATACCTATTGATAATTGTTGCTATCATAATTGCTACAATAACTAATGATACATCTCCCCTAGAAAGTGTCAACTTTTGTCGTGCGATTGTGAACTACTGATTGAGACTGAGAAGCTAAAGGTAAGTAAAAAATGACTTCCTACTTCTTGTGAGATGTTTTAACTTCACTATCGACGTATTTCGCTAATACTTGGGACAACCGGTGTAAAACCTACTATTTTCAATTGATAACATCGAATAAATCAATGGGAAACTTAAGTGCGTTCACTAGTATGCTATCCGTCGCAACACAATACTTGTAGATTTTTAACTGTAGAGTCTACAACAAGTGTTACTGAAAGCAGTTGTTCGTCAAAATGTTTTTATGAACATTCTATAGGAATTTCTAAATAACTGAAATATAGTGGACATGTAACTGCTCTGATGATACTCAATGAGTAAATGAAGTGTAATGTAAAACTCGCAAAAGCGAAAACCCTATTGAATTTCATTTGGAAATGAACTATGACACATCAATGTCTCTTCGTTAATATTACGTCACTGAAAATGTATGCTTTAAACCAAATTGAATCAATTAAAACGTATATCACTGGATTTTAAAGCAACATTTGACAGAAGCTATTTGCTACTGAGGATCTTCCTGAAATTCTAAAGGATTTACTTATGACTTATGTTCCAGAAGTTCCGAGTAGTTGGATTATAACAAGAAAAATAATTCCCGAAAACATTACATATAATTATAAGCATATTTTAAAAAGGGTATAGTTAGCAACTAAGCTATTTGAGCGTCTTTGATCCTGAGTGATTTAATCACAGCAAGAGAAGACCCTTTTAATGTCCATGAAACATTTTTATACATAGCTATCCCGTTTTCATTTACTCTAAGATCTGGTTTCACCTGTTCAAAAATTTTCTTTTTGGGATTAAGTTGGTCATCAGGATCGTCTGAAAAAAACGGAAAAATCAACTGATTAAGCAGTCAATTAAAAATAAAATCAAGACAGTCCAGAAATTAACAGAAATGTAGTAGTTGAGCATAATCAAAAAATGGATATCCCAAGATTGAATATATCCCGTCTATCCAAAATTGTTAAAGTACATTCATTTGAGAAATGGGTGTCACTAACTTTCCCCTCAGTCACTATAAGAAATATGAGAGTCATGTTTTCCAACATAGCTAAGTTTTATACTCCGAAAGTCACACAGATGAAAAAAGGAATACAATAGAACTACTTGGATTTAGGGTGCCTGGATTAGGACATATATACAGAAAATAAGCGAATCATTGATTCTGATCAAATCTTTCCTCATTAAGCTTAATCAGTTTAAAAAACAGTCCGAAAGGTTGTAAAACAACTAGTATGATGAGAATATCATTTTTAAGAAAAAGCAAATTGTTTGTGATTTGGTTTAGCGGAACTTCATATGTTCCGTGGTGCCCTGTCAGTCAGTCAGCTACAACGTAGGATCAGGCACATATGTTCATCGGTCCAGGTTGCCATACCTCATTAGCACAGCAAGATGAACACCGGATTCATAGGAGTGGTTAGGTCAAAGGTGGTAATATATCGGAGAAAGATTGCATATAAGGATATAGTACAGGAAGAAAGAATTAGTTAGTAGAAAGAAAGATATGAAGTTATTTTAATCTCTTAGTTTAAGAGAAGACAGGGAGTGTATACACCTACGCCATTGTGATCGATTCTGAGCCATGTCACCAAGAGTCTCCAACCATCGGTTACGAAAGTCACGCGGACCCCAACCAAGTAGTCTGCATCTACCAACATGGCTCAGACTAGAAGTTAGTGACTTCAGGCACTGATGCCACGTTTTGGTTTGGCCGCCCCTAATTCTCTTCCAACCATCTCTAACACCCGTTAGCATTGCACGACGTGGTAATCGGTGTTCAGGCATACGTAACACGTGGCCCAACCATCTCAGTCGATGAAGATTCATAACCTCATCAACTGATTTACCATCATTCCCTAATACCCTGCGCGTCTAACCTCACTATTACTTACCCGGTGATCCCAGCAGATGCCAGCAATATTTCTAAGGCATCTGTGGTCAGATACTAGTAGCTTACGGGTGTCTTCTACTCTTAAGGGCCATGTCTCGCTGCCGTAAATTAAAACAGAACGAACTGCCGCGCAGTATACTCGTCCTTTTATTGATAAACGGATATCTCGCCTTCGCCAAAGGTGACGTAAGTTGGCAAAAGCCAAACGAGCTTTTCGAATCCGTGCTGAGATTTCGTCCGATACCAGCCCATTACGGCTGATCAGACTTCCAAGATAAGTGAAGTTGTCAACGCGTTCGACCACTTCACTCCCTATCCTTAGTTCAGGTGTTGACGCAGACCAGTCCTGAAGCAACAACTTGCATTTAGAGGGAGAGAAGCGCATTCCAAACATTCTGGCATTGTTGCTCAGCGATACCAAAAGACTCTCCATTCTATCAGCGTCTTCACCAAACAGGACTATGTCATCTGCGTATTCTAAGTCGATAAGTGGACCTCCTGGAAGGAGATCAATACCCGAGAATTCAGTCGACGAAAGTGTTATTTCCATCAGTAGGTCTATGATGAAGTTAAACAGAAATGGAGAAAGTGGGCAGCCTTAGCGGACACCACTTGAGGTTGCAAAAGTAGATGACAGTTCGCCATAAGCCCTGACTCGACTAGTAGTGTTCGAGTAAAGAGCCTTCACAAGGTTTATGTACTTCTGAGGTACGCCTTTCAATGACAGACACTGCCACAGAGTCTCGCGGTATACAGAGCAAATGCTGCTTTTAAGTCAAGAAAGACCACCATCGTCGGACGCCGATAGGTATGCCTGTGTTCTAGAACCTGACGAATGGTGAATATGTGGTCGATGCAGCCATGACCAGGTCTAAAGCCAGCTTGGTTCTCTCGAGTTTTTAGTTCACGAGTCTTAGTTAGGCGTTTGATAATTATCGAGGCCAGTATTTTAGATACTATGTTTGTTAAACTAATCCCTCTGTGGTTGTCACAGGATGATTTTGACCCTTTCTTATATATTGGGACGATAAGTGATTGCGACCAGTCAGATGGGATAAAGTCTAATTCCCAGATCTTAGCTAAAATATTAGTCAACCTAATCGCTAAAATTGGACCACCATCCTTAAAGACTTCTGGAGCCAATCCATCTGGACCAGCTGCCCTTTCTCGTTTCAGATTAACTATAGCCTTTTGAACTTCTGCTAGAGTTGGGGGACCTACTTCAATGTTCCATTTACACTGTCTGGGAATGGAGGGTAGTTGTAGAGTAGCTGAAGGCCTGCTGAACTGTTCCCTAAAATGTTCCGCTTATCGTTCTAAACGTCTGGACTGGGAGCAGATGAGAGTTTCGTCTTTTTCCGAAATAATCTCACTTACACTTGACTTATTAATTCCAGTTTCTTTTATTAGTCTGTAAAGCTGTCTTGTGTTCCCTATAGTCGCCGCCTTTTCCATCTCTTTTGCTTTCGTTGCCCACCACTGCTCACGGTCGTTTCTTAGACTTTTTCTTAACCTAGATCTGATTTGTTTACGCTCTTCATCATGTTCGGAACCTGATGGGACGAGTTTGCGAGAATCCATCAGTGTGACAGACCTTGAAGAAATCCACTGGTTCTTTGTAACTCTGTGATTTAAGTCACTAATAGATTTCATTGCTCTTTCCACAGCTGTTTGTATATCTTTCCAAGCAACATCTGGGTCAGCCTTGTTTTCAGAACTACCTAAGTGTGACCTCAGTTGTTCCTGGAACCTACTTTTGGTTTTCTCGTTGCTCAACTCAGTTCTAACGGGTCTTTTTAATGTGGTTTTTTTGCGTCCAGTGAGGCGCAAGCAGATGCGTGTCCGTATTAGGGCATGGTCGGAGTCCAAGCAGGTACTCCAGAATGAGCGACAATCTTCTACCGACCCTCTCCAACGATGACTGATGGCAATATGGTCTATTTGAGTCCATCGTTGGTTTGGTGTAGGGGGTCGCCATGTTAGACGATGTCTCTCCTTATGCTTAAAATTTGTATTTGCTAAAAATAAACGATTGTCTGAGCATAGCTGCAGCAGAGGATCACCATTATCTGTTCGCTGTGTCGGAATACTAAAATATCCACCTAAATGCCTTTCTGTTTGGTTTAAACTGCCTATCTGAGCATTAAAATCACCTGCTACGAGTACTATGTCTGAGCGTTTAGCTTTCTGAAGAAGTTCGGACAGCTTTCTGTAAAATTCATCTTTCACTTCATCTGAACTGCAGTCAGTGGGAGCGTAGGCAGAAAAGACAAGAAGGCAACGACGTGTGTCCCTATCCTTCCGAGTTCTTACGTAGCCGTTCAGCCGAACAGCACATAGACGACTGTTGACGGGGATCCACTCTAGCAGTGCTTGTTCGGCCCTCATGCTTAGTGCTATGCCTACACCTGCCAGTCCACGAGAACTTGCCATCGGGTCACCAGATACACGAAGGGTGTATCTCGTTGGCTCTCCGTTTTGCCGAGGTGAGGTCAAGTGAATAACCACACTGGAATCCTGTATGCGTGTTTCGGAGACACAGCACACGTCAATGGTAAGAGACTCTAGGGTTTTAGCCAAGGAAGCCTGCTGACCGATTTGACATAGGGTTCGTACGTTGAAGGCTCCAATGTGTAGTTTGGAGCGAGGTTTCTGTAGACCTGGGACAGTGTTTTGCGCACAAGAATCGTTGGCTATGGTGACACTTGAGGTGGAAGCCGAGAGAGGAAATTTAAAGTTGAAAGTCGATGTAGGAGGAATAATAGGAATTGAAGAGGGAGGTTGATTATGAATACAGTGGTCTTGAGTGCTGTTAGAGGTATGAGGGCGGTTATCACTTCCCGGTTGCCCACACCGTGGAAGGGTTCTTCTGGAGGTACCTGAAAAGGAAATTGGATTAAAGGTGGTCTTAGTGACCTGAGAGCGTGACCGCAGTGCCCAAGGGACAACTGCTTGAGGTCGGTCACACACGACCTTGTTATGGGTAATTTTTGTGTTAGCTCCGTACTTGTTGAGACCTTACCGCCGGAAACGGATATCCGTGGGATAAGGCGAGGTGTGCATTCTCAGAGTCGACCTTTCCTAACCCCACCCCTCCTTGTGGGAAGGCAGCATCGCTGTCATGCTGGTTGTCTGAAGGAAACACCTTACTGCTGTCACACCTCTGTACAGTCAGCAGTACGACTTCGCCTTCGGACCTTGGGTTTGTTGCTTTTAGTCTTACCGCTCTTTAACCGACCTGTCTGACATGGTAGGACCTTGAGGAACGGTTGTTCCAGCCAGTATAGCTCGGTTGCTTCATCACGATAGGCAAGCCCGACCACCACGTCAAGGTAGCAACAACGGTCGGGTGGCCTGACTTATTTTGTTTTAAACAATTTAGATAACTCGTCCAACTAAACTAGGATATATCTACAAATGTCAATTACATACCACAAAGCACATAATTAATCAGTTAGATGTTCTAAATACACAATACAAATCAATCTAAGGCCGCTAATGGAAGCTCATTAGATTCTAAAGAATTACCCCAACCTAAAGAATGTGAAGTACATGTTCGTGTTAAGAAAGATATATGTACTATTTACAAATATGTATGCTTCAATGATTAGGTCTAATTATGATAACGAAAACGCGTTAATATTAATCACTAAGTCACTGCACTCAGAATGATTCTAAGCACGATAAATAACCAAATAATGTCAAAAATATCAGCAGCTAAAGTGTGACATTTAGTTTTCTTTTGAAAGACTAAGGACAACCAAAGTTATTACTTACGATTATATCCAGGAACCACAACTGAATCACCTAACTGTATATCTGGGCCCTCAACAATCAGAGGCTCTACTCCACATGTATCTGGTGAGCTTGCACACATTAGCATTGCTTCCGATTCAACACCACGCATTTTTGCTGGCTTGAGATTGCAGAGAAATATCCCGACTCGGTTTTGTAGTGACTCGATAGGTAGATATTTCACCAACCCACTGACAACAGTGCGTATTTCATTCCCACCCAAGTCAACCTGAATAAAATGGCGAAAAGCACGTTTTAGGTTATAAAATACAAAGCTTGGACAGACTAAACACTTTATATAAAATATGAATGCTGATTTAAAGAGATGAGATAGGAAACCACATACTTTCTCTACGTATAACGAGTCAGCATCAGGATGGCGATTTACATCTATAATTCGACCGACACGCAGATCCAGACGACCAATATCAACAGGCTTTTCAGCAGATTGTGGTTTTCCATCTGGTATTTTACGTTCGGTATTTCGATTTTTAGTTTTCACCGAGTCCGTTTGTACCTCTGTCCTCTGTTTGGGTTGCTCTGCTATAATAAACCACAAAATGAAAAGTTCTATTACTAGCTCCGGAAGAGATTTTTATGTCAGTATTATGCGGCACTAAAAAAACGTAGCCAAGCACAGAATAAAAATATTATGAAGAAAACTAACACAGAGATGCCTCATTATTAAAATACAAATAAAAAGACTAGTATTCAATAAACGATCAAGACAAATTAAAAGAACAACTAACATCGACTTCGTTCGGCCACGGAGTTACATCTGGCTTGTTTGAAAAATGCAATGTGAAAACAAACAAGACAGACATAGCTTTTTAGTTCGAGGCACTGACTTGTATGACCCCAGAGGCCCCTCTATGGGCATTGTGACTGGCTAACATTTATCAATCCCTTACAGGATTTTTTTCATTTCACATAATAAAATACCCACCTCTACTTTATCCACCTAGTTCTCACATCAGGAAAATAATGCGCGACAAAGAACATTTGAGAAAACGGTTTATTCCCAACACGACCGGATCCCAAAAATGGTGGAAACAATTAGTTTATCATAAAGCCCAAGAGCAAAAATAAGGTCTCAACATTATTCGCACGGTGTTACAACTGCATGTAGATAAGTCCGTTAGGGGAATGAAAACGGAAAAGCAGTTTAAAAGTTCTCATTTAAGAGCCAGATTCCATGTGCATTGAGCAAAACAGAGGCATTGTTGAACAGTAACATTCAGTTTGCAAGATTATTTTTATTAACAACAATAATGATTTCGGTTGTTGCCAATGAAGAAATATATGTTTATGGACATAAATATTTGATAATCAGTTCGCCGAAAAGCGCTCTGAGTGTTGAAAAAAATAACAATATATTCATTGAAACCTGCAGTATTAGAAAGGCCATCAGTGGCAGTGATTCAGACTTTCTAAATTTATATTTACTGACAATGTCTCATTCCCAATATTTACATTCATTTTGTAGGTTGTAACCGTCTTCAAGTATCTGATCTTAATTAGTAAACAATATCCAATATTGCCCCGGTAACAGTAAACCAGCTTAGCGAAAAACGGTGACATCACGCTAAATACTATATATTACGAGGACAGTTATTATTACAATAAACCTAAATATGAATCAAGAACTAGAAATTAAACGAGCCCATTTTTCACATTCTGACATAAAGGATCATACCATTGGAAAAAGTGGATCAATAGAGAAAAAGAACAGAAACTAACCTTCCGGCACTAATCCTTTATCGGACAACTGTCCGATTTCCAGTGAATTTCCATTCAAATTAGAATCATTGGATACAGCCTTAACAGAGGGTAAATGATGAAGTTGTTGTTGATTTACTATTTGTAAAAAGACTTATTAGTTAACTTGACTAACATCCAAGAAGTAGCTCCTGCTGAATAACTGAATCTTTTAACGACTTTATCCTGTGCAACAACTGTTTATTCTGTACTTTGAGGCATGATTCAACATAGTTTACTGCATCTGGTGTTGCAATTGATTCCAAATGTTTCAACTTGTCAGAAATAGACTGCAATAGCTTGTTCATCTTTAAAACGAATGGAAATGTCCCCATAACAAAAAGATTTTGTAGTAATCGGAAGTCACACAAAAAATATAGTGTAATTCTTAATACACATCTGTGAAATCAGGTGTGAGAAATAAGACAGTCAGCTACAACGTAGGATCAGGCACATATGTTCATCGGTCCAGGTTGCCATACCTCATTAGCACAGCAAGATGAACACCGGATTCATAGGAGTGGTTAGGTCAAAGGTGGTAATATATCGGAGAAAGATTGCATATAAGGATATAGTACAGGAAGAAAGAATTAGTTAGTAGAAAGAAAGATATGAAGTTATTTTAATCTCTTAGTTTAAGAGAAGACAGGGAGTGTATACACCTACGCCATTGTGATCGATTCTGAGCCATGTCACCAAGAGTCTCCAACCATCGGTTACGAAAGTCACGCGGACCCCAACCAAGTAGTCTGCATCTACCAACATGGCTCAGACTAGAAGTTAGTGACTTCAGGCACTGATGCCACGTTTTGGTTTGGCCGCCCCTAATTCTCTTCCAACCATCTCTAACACCCGTTAGCATTGCACGACGTGGTAATCGGTGTTCAGGCATACGTAACACGTGGCCCAACCATCTCAGTCGATGAAGATTCATAACCTCATCAACTGATTTACCATCATTCCCTAATACCCTGCGCGTCTAACCTCACTATTACTTACCCGGTGATCCCAGCAGATGCCAGCAATATTTCTAAGGCATCTGTGGTCAGATACTAGTAGCTTACGGGTGTCTTCTACTCTTAAGGGCCATGTCTCGCTGCCGTAAATTAAAACAGAACGAACTGCCGCGCAGTATACTCGTCCTTTTATTGATAAACGGATATCTCGCCTTCGCCAAAGGTGACGTAAGTTGGCAAAAGCCAAACGAGCTTTTCGAATCCGTGCTGAGATTTCGTCCGATACCAGCCCATTACGGCTGATCAGACTTCCAAGATAAGTGAAGTTGTCAACGCGTTCGACCACTTCACTCCCTATCCTTAGTTCAGGTGTTGACGCAGACCAGTCCTGAAGCAACAACTTGCATTTAGAGGGAGAGAAGCGCATTCCAAACATTCTGGCATTGTTGCTCAGCGATACCAAAAGACTCTCCATTCTATCAGCGTCTTCACCAAACAGGACTATGTCATCTGCGTATTCTAAGTCGATAAGTGGACCTCCTGGAAGGAGATCAATACCCGAGAATTCAGTCGACGAAAGTGTTATTTCCATCAGTAGGTCTATGATGAAGTTAAACAGAAATGGAGAAAGTGGGCAGCCTTAGCGGACACCACTTGAGGTTGCAAAAGTAGATGACAGTTCGCCATAAGCCCTGACTCGACTAGTAGTGTTCGAGTAAAGAGCCTTCACAAGGTTTATGTACTTCTGAGGTACGCCTTTCAATGACAGACACTGCCACAGAGTCTCGCGGTATACAGAGCAAATGCTGCTTTTAAGTCAAGAAAGACCACCATCGTCGGACGCCGATAGGTATGCCTGTGTTCTAGAACCTGACGAATGGTGAATATGTGGTCGATGCAGCCATGACCAGGTCTAAAGCCAGCTTGGTTCTCTCGAGTTTTTAGTTCACGAGTCTTAGTTAGGCGTTTGATAATTATCGAGGCCAGTATTTTAGATACTATGTTTGTTAAACTAATCCCTCTGTGGTTGTCACAGGATGATTTTGACCCTTTCTTATATATTGGGACGATAAGTGATTGCGACCAGTCAGATGGGATAAAGTCTAATTCCCAGATCTTAGCTAAAATATTAGTCAACCTAATCGCTAAAATTGGACCACCATCCTTAAAGACTTCTGGAGCCAATCCATCTGGACCAGCTGCCCTTTCTCGTTTCAGATTAACTATAGCCTTTTGAACTTCTGCTAGAGTTGGGGGACCTACTTCAATGTTCCATTTACACTGTCTGGGAATGGAGGGTAGTTGTAGAGTAGCTGAAGGCCTGCTGAACTGTTCCCTAAAATGTTCCGCTTATCGTTCTAAACGTCTGGACTGGGAGCAGATGAGAGTTTCGTCTTTTTCCGAAATAATCTCACTTACACTTGACTTATTAATTCCAGTTTCTTTTATTAGTCTGTAAAGCTGTCTTGTGTTCCCTATAGTCGCCGCCTTTTCCATCTCTTTTGCTTTCGTTGCCCACCACTGCTCACGGTCGTTTCTTAGACTTTTTCTTAACCTAGATCTGATTTGTTTACGCTCTTCATCATGTTCGGAACCTGATGGGACGAGTTTGCGAGAATCCATCAGTGTGACAGACCTTGAAGAAATCCACTGGTTCTTTGTAACTCTGTGATTTAAGTCACTAATAGATTTCATTGCTCTTTCCACAGCTGTTTGTATATCTTTCCAAGCAACATCTGGGTCAGCCTTGTTTTCAGAACTACCTAAGTGTGACCTCAGTTGTTCCTGGAACCTACTTTTGGTTTTCTCGTTGCTCAACTCAGTTCTAACGGGTCTTTTTAATGTGGTTTTTTTGCGTCCAGTGAGGCGCAAGCAGATGCGTGTCCGTATTAGGGCATGGTCGGAGTCCAAGCAGGTACTCCAGAATGAGCGACAATCTTCTACCGACCCTCTCCAACGATGACTGATGGCAATATGGTCTATTTGAGTCCATCGTTGGTTTGGTGTAGGGGGTCGCCATGTTAGACGATGTCTCTCCTTATGCTTAAAATTTGTATTTGCTAAAAATAAACGATTGTCTGAGCATAGCTGCAGCAGAGGATCACCATTATCTGTTCGCTGTGTCGGAATACTAAAATATCCACCTAAATGCCTTTCTGTTTGGTTTAAACTGCCTATCTGAGCATTAAAATCACCTGCTACGAGTACTATGTCTGAGCGTTTAGCTTTCTGAAGAAGTTCGGACAGCTTTCTGTAAAATTCATCTTTCACTTCATCTGAACTGCAGTCAGTGGGAGCGTAGGCAGAAAAGACAAGAAGGCAACGACGTGTGTCCCTATCCTTCCGAGTTCTTACGTAGCCGTTCAGCCGAACAGCACATAGACGACTGTTGACGGGGATCCACTCTAGCAGTGCTTGTTCGGCCAGCTCCGTGACCTTGAAATTGCTCAAACAGTCAGTCAGTCAGTCAGTAACAACGTAGAACTTCGTACGTACGTACATCAGTTCGAGTTGCCACACCACATTAGCACAGAGATGCAGTGGTCGATTCAAATCCCGTAGTGGTAGAGGTAATAAGAGTATGAGCAGTAATCGGGAAGATTAGGGTTTGGAGATGTTATTCAAGGAGTATAATCCAGTGAAATAAATTTGGAAAGAGGAAAAAAGGGACATGAAGAATTCAGAAGATTAGAATTTGGGAGAACACAGAGAGTGGATACACCTGCGCCATTGCAAACGATTTTGAGCCATGTCATTCGTTTGCTCAAACGCTTCTGATTGGCTCGTCCCTAAATTAGAGTCTCGCCCCAGGATTCCATTTAGCCAAATGGGTGGATGAATTTCGCGCCACAACGCAAGACCCGTTATCGTAAACTTGATTGGTTCGTCCCTAAAATGTAGTCTCGCCCGCAGACACTATTTTTTACAGATGGTATCAAATTCATGAGTATATTGAGTAGAGACTGATTACCTTGCTATCTAGGCTGATTAAAGTCTGATAATAGAAAGAGTAGGCTGGTCACAGCGCAATATTTGCCCAAATAGCGCCAATAAGATACGGATTCCAGAATTCCGGAAACAAAAAGATCTACAGGTAATAATGCGTTGTGAATTGAGAACAACTGGTCATGGTAATACAGTAGTAGGAAAAGTTTTCCACGTGCACTACGTCGTTAAATAAAGCAGGAAATCATGTAGGTAAATGTTTACAATATTTAGTTCGCCGTATAGAAAAGAACAACAATGAGCTAACTCCTCACCAGACCGCATGAAATAACTCACCCTCGCAGCCCGATAGTAACGGACACTTTGTACGGCGCGCTAAACACAACGCAATAACAAAAAGCAAAAAAAATCATGTTCTTTTTCTTCTTCGAACAGAGTTCGGCTCGGCTCCAGAATAGTATGTAGAAGACAGTTTTGATATATTTTGTTAATCTTTTTCAAGTAAGCTTTCATGAGTGCTTAATCTCAAGGACGTGTCAATCGAACCCAACTTCTCTTAGTACGTCCAAAGAACTCATAAATCTGTGAGAAAACCTGTGTGTCACCAGGGTATTTTACACATAGGATCAGTGAAATCGTCAGCTATGTTTACTGGACTGTTCTGACCCAAAATCATTTCCTAGTACTCTATACCTCAAAATAAAATAATCGCTTAATCTGCAGACGGACAGTGTAAGCAAGTATAGCTTCCAAGTATCATTTCATACGACAGGCCACAGACTTCCGGAATTGTGCAGGTAGCTAACTTTTTCATGGTGTAGGAAGTGATTCAACATTTTAACCGATGGTTGGGGGCTGAACGCATTTTTAAAATTCAGACCTCACCTCTGTACGTCATTGTGGACATATTTGCATCCAACCGAAGCATTTAGCATAACCGAAAGGTCCATAGTCAACCTCGGAATAAATTCGTAAATTCCCAAATCTCCTTTTCGGTTGTAGCCATCCAAAATGGACTAGACCAAAAATTCTAGTCAGGCCTATGTAACTGATTTCTACCGACTTCTTCTTATTGTACGGTTCTTTTCACCTGTCTCTTTCTGTTATAAGGTTACTTGTGTGTGATAATCTTAGCAATGCCATAAATATACGTTGCTAGAAGACATTGTTGTCTTAACTCCTTTTGAATCGAAGATCTCGAGGCCGGGCAAACCAGAAGACAAGAATGAGAGGGTTCAAATATTTACTGGAAAATGTTCAAAGCCTTTGAAAGTATTTGATCCATGCCGACTATTTGCCGTAGGAGGCGCCCAGCATAGCCTACCTAAATGTAGTCTCGTACAGGTGTTTGACCAACGGCCCCTAACTAGAAGCATGTCCAGTATTTCGAAGTCTTTAAAGACTAGTCATTTGGGTTTTGACTTGCCATTAAAACCTCCCTCGGAATCGTTCACTGCATCACATGTCGTTTGTCTATACAAAAGCCATTATGTCCGTTCCGGTTACTACGTATAATGTGTTAACTAGTACACTAGTGAGGCTGACAGGTTTGTGGAGGATTGTGCAGCGTCAGTTGCTTTTAAACCAACATGGTTTATTCTAGCTTCCGACAAGCTAATTTATTCATTCTTCCTAAACCATATTTTGACCTTGTCACTCACTGGCTTATTTATTCCTAATGTTTTTAGATGAGCGTATGTTTGTGCACACCCTACCCTACTCATCACAAATGTGTAACTTACTTTTACCTGACTATAAATATTGCTTAACGCTTGATTAACATGTTTCACATGTTTATTGACTGTAACAGAAAGAAAACGCTGAACATCCCGCCACACCATTTTTGTTGTACAGTAATGTCATTTACCTGTTTCTTTTCCCGGTCTTGTATTTTAACCTGTTTTCAGATCTCCTTTAACGAAACTTTGTGTTTTTCAGTCTTCTTTGTCTGAGCCCTTATTGTGTGATTTTGAATATAAACTTATATTTTGTTACCTAATTTCCTGTTGCAAGTTGCCGGACGACTGACAATAAGGTCATGTTTAACTAAGCTCAAGGTCACAGTGTGGTTCAGTGTGTCACTGTAAATTTTTGACTGTCTTCTTGTAAAGGTTTTCGGAATCACTACAGATAGATAAATGACCCTATCTTGTTGGGAATATTTTTATTGATCCCCAGGTAGATAAACGCTTGTCAGTACGGCACAGGCTGTACCTTTTGAGGTATTTTGTATTTTTGATATAATCAATTCTATTTCGTAATTTAGAACCGTTTAAAGTGAGCACAGAGTTTGCGTTTTGATATAATTTAACACGAGTAACTGAAAAACGCTTCGTTAGCTATACAGAAGGACATAGTCTGGTGCAATCGAATATATTTTGGTTCGTTAGTTCTGCGTTCAAACCAAGTATTGGGATTTCGGTTTTTACATTAACTTTATTCAAGTGCCCAGAGCTAATATCAACCTCAATTATTGTATTTTCAGCTACATGGATTGTGTGTCTACGAAATAATGTCACCAGAACCCGATCTAGCGTGCGATTACCCTCATGTTCAATCGCAAGTAATAAGTACTGCTGGTAGGTGATAATGAACTAACTGAAACGAGGCAAATCAATCTGTTTAGGACTCACGTAAGACAATTCGTGGCAAATTTCTAAACGTGGAAAAAATTCTACCTAATTAAAGGTGAACTCAAGAGAAGCATTGGGGAAATCTGTGAAAATTTAGTATGCATGTAGACAAAAATTCATTGTTTTGGCACCTTTTGACCAACCTGGGAAATCACTTTTAACTTTCTAAAAAATCTCCTCAATGAGAGGTAATGTGTCAGTGTCGATGAATCACCTTAACTTGAACAAGTATCGAGTTATCTGTTTCTCCCTAAATTGCAACTGAATAGTCTGCTTTTATACCGGTTAGAATTAAACAGTTTGTTGAATCCTAGATATATTCCAAAAAATTTATTTTCGCGAAGAATCAATTTTTACCACAATAACTAAAAACATATTTGGAGGACGTTTTTTTGCTGTTTATTTGTCAGTTGGGTTATCATTAACACCTCCAAGATAAAAAGGTATGAAACAAATGTACCTTGGGTATCTCCTTTTCGAAGACATGTCGACTGCCTCCAACTCCTCTTCATTATGATAAAGGAGATTGTAAGCTATGTAATGTGACACCAATTCCGTTCGATCGGTCGTCGATTTCAGGAGATTTCAACAGAGATATAATCTGTCTCATATTTGCTGGCACTTCAACAATGCTGGCTGAAATTTTAGTTAAACTTAAATTTGCTCTTGATAGTCTATGAGACTGAAGACTATTTAAAGCTTGCTCATTCTAAAGTGCAGTGCTACTAGGCGTCAAGGCACTGACTGATGGCAACGACCATAGGTAAAGATCACAGACTTACTTTGCGACCCGGGAGTTTAGATTGTCTATTAGTTTAAACTTGGGATATTCAACTGGGCCATACCTAATTTGCACTTCTGCGGCAACCACGTGGATGGAATCATGCATTCGATTCACTAGGTTTCCGCAAACAACCATTAGCGAGAACTCACTTTCAGTTATCTGTACATAAACTTCAATAGTCTTAATCATGCCTTTTTTTATTCAACTCAATTGGTAGATGACTAAATCAAGTCAGGCGTAAAACAAAAATAATACAATAAGGAAGTGATTGACGAGTTTTCAATTGACCGAAATCGTTAAATACCATAAACTTTATGATTATGAAACTGTCAGAGCGATGAAAATTCTTTGTTAACTCAACATCGGCCGAGCTATCTGAATACAAGTATAGTTGTTCAGTAATGACCGCTTTTTTAATACAATAGGAATCTTCTCCTAACTATAAAAACTGGGAACTGGAAGATTTTAAGATGTGTGCTAAAAGAAATTTAAAAATAATAGAACAGGTTGTGAAACCAAGAGGACAAATTATGCATAGTCGCTTGCAGAAACGACGTAAAATAAGGGACTATGGCTTCAAATTCAATTCACTTTATGGCTATAAACGTACATGATACCTCAGCGACGGCTAATTACAAATTGTCACGAATGACTACTGAAAACATAAATATACCTATATTGATCGAAGTAGCAATATTCGGTTTGGACGTAGAACTAACGAACCAAATTTTATTCGACTAAGCTTGATTGACTTTGTTTGTATACCGTACGAAGAGTTTTTGAGTTACTGGCAATCAATCGTATTAAGACACAATCCGTGTTCAATCTAAACAGCTCTAGTTAAAGGAGAATAAATTATATAAACAGCACACAATATCTCAAACGGTAGATCTTGTGCAATACAATCGAGAGTTTTTCTAGAACAGGCGAACGTGCTGAACAATAAAAGGAATATATACATGATTTACAATAATGATATAATAATAATAATAATAATAATAATTTATTCTCAAATAACAGTTTGTTACATGAGGCATGCCAGTTTACAGGCAAGATCAAATTGATACAAATGATACAATATCCACTGTATTAAATTACATAGCTGGGTTGATAATTTATAAGATATGAATGTAGATGGTTTTAATCAGTACTACAGTTGGCGCTTCACGAGAGTTGCGTTGCGAATGTGCGACTGATGGTCAAGGATAGGTCCATTGAAGGTATGAGCTTCTAGAAATCGCAACCTTATGTCCCTTTGGGATATCCAAGGCTTTAAGGATGGTGCAGGATGAAGTAACCCGTTCCATATCTCAAAGGGGCTGAAAGAAGGGGCAAGTAAAAGAAAACACGAGAGGCAGAGTAGCCAATATTCATGAAGAAATGTTTAAGGTATGGTTACTCAGTCTACTTTTCTTTTATTAAGGTATTTGTTAAGAAAGAGCATTTTAATAGGTTAAAGAAAATAAATGTTAGCAAGGTGTGAGTGGACATACAACTGACAAATGGAGGCGATTCGGAAAAGAGCTGAGAGTATAGGATTATGTGTGATTATAAAATAAGATATAGTGCTAGAAACAGTATTGTGATATACAACTGGCTATCTTCCTTTTATTATCGAAGCTATTAGAGCCCCTTTCGTTTTTTTTATTTGTATTTTTTCAGGTATTATAGGGTCTTGAGTAGGCTTCGTATATTAGCGAATTGTCTAGTTTGCTTGTAATAGGATTTCCGGGTAGGAAGTGAAACCAATTCAACCTTTGTAACACGATTTAAAGAGGTATTTTGCGTGATAAATCAGCTTCAGTAGCATAAGTCCGTGACATCCCACTAAACCATAAGGAGCCGTAATTAAACAAAATGTTCTGCCCTACAGACATGGGTGGATAGAAGTAATCTCCCCACCTTCATGTTCGCTGGTCAGTAACGCCACCCTCCCTCCTTTTGTGATGTTAGGCTCTCTTACGTTTGTGGTAAGTATGATTAATGCTTTGATCAAAGCACATAGTTGGAATACACTGTCTCTACTAGGTTCATGTTACAAGCAAATCAGATAGTTGAAAAGTCTGTTTTATGGGTTAGATGTCCATATAGTATATCACACTGCTATGAAAATAACTAATGGTTTAAAGAAGTAAGGACTAATAGTAAATCAAAAGATATGAGAGGGTATAAAATTGTAGAAAAAAAGATTTTAGGGTGAGAAAAATAAAACACTGAGAAACTCACAAGACTTTGTGGCCAAATTTTGAGCTTTGAATGATTGGCCTTAGTAGATCAGCATCCATAAGATTGAGCTATCTGTCTACTTGCAGTAGAAAAAAAGGCATGACTTTTAGGAAGAATAATGTACATTTAACCTGTGGAGATTCGGGGACTGAAAGCTAGGGTTAGGGGCGTGAAGTCATGATTAATAAACAATGAATAATAGGAAAGGATAAGCCATATATTCTGTGATTTGGTTATATTCAGATTAGTAACAGTCGACCTTTTTATAATTTTGTTCTTTCTAGATACTAGGCGGTCCGTAATAAAGTGCCTCATTGGTGGGCGGGAGTTCAAGGAAATGTTGAAGCTCTTTGGAGTCTAGAAATAGGGTTATTAGCTTTTTGAATCTGGTAAACGTATCACAGTTACGGATAGGCATTGGCAGCCTGTTCCACAATAAACTGTACCGTACTGTAAAGAACTTACAACGCATTTGTTTTTGGTGTTTTACAGTAAGTAGTATATATGCGTTGTTTCTAAGTCTATAGGCTGGGTCGTGGGTGATAGTCGAGCAGGAGGTTAGAAAGGAGAGCCCATATATCGCTTTGTAGAGAAATATTAGATTGTTTTTTAGCCTACGGTGCCATAAAGGTTCTAAAGATAGATGCTTACATCTGTCTGTGTAATCGAGATTCGAGTTACATCCTAGTAGTTGACGTGTGAAATGATTGGATACGTTACGTAATAAATTTATAATGACATTTAGATTAACATTGAGCAATTGGAAGAAAGAGAATTAATAATATTCAGAATAATTAATAAATCAAGAAGTTGTTACGTTGTATAATATATGAAAAAGAGAAGGAACAGAATTTTTAATGGATGGTCAATAGAATAGTAGTTACGTAAGAATTAAGAGGTGAATGTTGAGAAATAACAGAGTTCAAAAACAACAGAAACAAAATTAAAAATTGGAAAAACCCGAAAGGAAGAAGTTTGAAAAATAGTTCTGTTGAAGGAAATCTCGTACCGATGGCCAAGGCAGCTAAAGTGTTTGTACAAATTTCTTTTTAATGCAAAGGTTAGGTTTGTGAACATTGATTACGATGGCCCCCGCAATGTGCGAAAGGCGCACTCGTAAGCCATGTGGCAAATGTGATGAAGTATGGTAGATGACCTTAAAGGCTTTATTCAATCCAACTCGATGACCTGCGTCAAACAAGCGAGCGAGAATAGAACTTTTAATCACTTTTATCTGTCCTTTGCTTAACCGCGACGGATGGATCTCTGTAATACGATAATGAACTTGCCGAATTGTACGCCCTATATAACTGGCTCCACAGGAGCAGTTGAATAGATAAATACACATGGATTTGGCGAATTCAGGCAGTCTGTCTTTATTGGCCGTTCTTATTTCGGTGTGGTTGTAGAACATAGCATCAAGTATGGTTGCATTATTTACTAAATGTCAAAATGGGAATTTTCACTACATTGAAAAGTTCTGGGAAACATTCGCGTTAAAGTTTCTCAACAAGTATCTGAAGTATAGCGCAAGGCTCAATAAGGTGATGGCAAATGTAAACGAACAAAGACGCGTGATGAAGAAAAGAAGAGGGACCTCAACAACGCTAGTATCGACGGAGCACGTAATAATACTAGCAGGGACATGCTGAAGCTCAGAACCGTCATACCATCAAAGGTACTATACTCCCTCAACAAAATTGGGTCTCCCAGCACGGGATCCCTGAACGCAATGGTGATCCCCAAAAACCCTGAAGTTGATTGGAATTACGTCAACAAAGTTAATGGAGACCGAGTGTCACCGTCTAAGAATCTGAACATCCCAGGTAATGTGGCAAGTTTCACTGATGATCTGGCTGTACAGTCTACTCCTAAGTCTGTCCAGCCAGTTGGAGATGAGCACAATAATCTGAAACGGGCTTCAACCACCAAACAACAAGTTTCTCAGCCTTAACGTACTCGATAATCTGGAAAAATAATCAAAGTTCACGATGGATTTCTTATAATTATGAAACGTTATGGATCGGTTTTTGAATATATAGAGCTTGGACATTGGATTCAGTATTTCAGTAGCCCTACCAGACTTCGAAATAACTTGCACTTAGTTTTTACCAGTGGCTTCACCCCTAACACTGCGTATATTGGAAAAACGTTTCAAGGCAGTGATTAAGAAATTGTCATATGTAGCCTTGATATAAATACCACAACCGGTAGAGGCAAAACTCTAACACTTCGTAGAGATTATCACATGGTTGATTGGAAGAACTTTTAAAATTAACTAAGTACATACAATACCGGCACACTGACTAATATATTCTATCACAACATCATAAATATCTTCGACAAAATCGCACATTTAGAATAT